TCAAACTATGGTCTTCAGCTTGAAGAACTAGTCTGTCTCACAGTCCCTGAACCACATTATTTTCCCTAATGCCTAGCCCTCCCTGAAGCTCTAAATGAAGCAAGTCCAGATTTCCACAGGTTCTCCCAACTCACTGGTGCTCTATTTCAATTGAAATGGGTTTATTTGTTGCTATCAAAATGATATATTCAGGGACTATAAGCGTTAGTCTACTTGAAGAACCAACGCTTTTATCACTGGTCCACCACACATCTCCTGAATCATCACAAGTCGGTAGTGCAGTATACACATAAAGCGAATCCTATCAATTTAAAATTAAATATCCAATACATGTTTTGGGTTTTGAAATAGGCAAAGATCAAATTATCTCAAATTCTGGTTTATGTTGTAAGCTTCTGAAGATTAAAGTAATGTGTTGAAACAAGTCTCATAGTTCAAAACGTATTTAATCCTTGTCATCATGATGGCCTACTAGAGATATCCATACGCCAATCGTCTTAATATGTCTCCACAAATAAACCCCATAAATATCTATCTGAAAATCGCCAATACACGCAACGCGCTTGTAATGGACGATTGTGATTGAGTGCGTCGTGAAAACCTGCCTCCCGCAGGCATTTCGTTGATGGAGGAATTCACATTATTGCCTTGAATGTTTCATATAAACCACGAACGCTGAAATAGGTAAGGGACAATCGATTTTACAGCGTATTCAGCGGGAGCAGGCGATGGGAAGGTTGGCAGTTTTCGATTTTATTCATTCTACATTGATAAATCATGATCGTTGTGAAGAAATATACACTCCTGCAATGTGACGTTTACTTTAAACTGATTGGCATTTTGGACTCCGTTCTTTTTATTGGAGTATACACCCAGTTACACGAAAAGGAGACGGCTCATATCAGTTTCATCTTCAAATGTAACTTCGTTTTATGGATTTTATTACACTTTAGACAGATTTTCGTGATTTAATGACGTTTTCCATTTTCCCAGACGAAGTTCATGTTTTGGTTACTAAGAAACCACATTAAATTTAATCAGGAATCCCTTGAGCTACATTGTTTTTGAACTTTTTTGGGTTAAATTATTTGTAATATGTTTCAAATAAAAACTGACACCAGTTCGAAAGATTGGAAAGAGCGATATTATACGCACATACCAGATCAAATAACTCGAAAACCAACGAATAGGAGTGTTTTCATTATTCATCTACTTTACGATTGAGTAAAAAATAATGGCAGCTGTAAACCCGAAGAGGAAAAAAACCCCAGAGCATATCTACTCCAGCAGCAAAGTTCATTGAGAGAAACAAGCTGCTGGTGCACACACACTGTAATATATTATTAGGAATACATATACTTGTGCAACAGACTTTAATGGTAGTGGAAAATATTTGTTTCTATAGCAATAACGTATGGATTAGTTTGCCTGTCTTTATTCGAATTAAGGGTATTGGCCATTACTCCTTCAGTGAAATGGCTCCGTTATTTGGATTCTTTTATCAAACATTGATATTAATTTATTGACGTTTACATTCCCTATACATGTAAATACGACAGAGCGATGTCTATAACATTAAATCTATAATCAATATTGAGACATGTACACATGTTGCCATTTAAAACAATATATATTTATAGATGATCTGTATATTCTCCGTTAGAAATACACAAAGCCAGCCGTACACTGTTATTGGAATGATCACAGGTTTTTTCTCCACAGTCGCCTATTAGCATAGAAATGGCTGTATGAGGGAACAGATCAATTCTGTAATCTCCTTTGGGCCAAACACAGGAGAGGCGGCCATCACTCGCTGAAAGCTGGCCGATTTTGATCAATCACTTTGAGACATAACACCGGTCATATCGTCCGGACAACTAGCTACACGGTCTCAGTCGCACGCAATCGGACGAGATTGTCATTCATATTTCATGTTGTCTGCTCCGAAGCCATGGTGAATATTGTCAAAGTGACTTTATAGTTAGCTAAATATTGACTTTTTAGTCGATAGCAACCCAATTTGACTTAGATTTCACGCATTAGTTTTTCGTCAACGGGTTTTGACACAGTTATACTGTAATGCTTCACACTGAACGAAGTCACAAAGTCGTGATGAGGTAAAGTTACTATTTTTAGGACAATGTTGTAAAACGTGTCAAAAAAGGATACACAGATGTACTTACATTTGTTTGGAAAAAAGGATAGCAGTTATCTGGCTATAAGTTTTGTTTTTGTAACACAGTGTATACGTTTGCGTACAATCGGTGTGTTGTGTTACTGGCTCACCATTGCCAGACAGGAAAACTGTTATGAGAGTTGTCAACACATTCTTCAGTAAACAACGAAAGAGTGAGGGTGTCCAAATATACGCTTAAAAGTGTAAAATAGTACTGTCGCCATACTGTCCTGCTCTTAAGCCTAAATGGTACTATTTCATAACACTGCACTTCTTTTAACATTGTACTACATCATCACACAGTCTAGTTGTAAAGCAATCAGTATAAATCGTCATACTCTCCTTCCCTTATCTTCAAAAACAGTAGGGCGGTGGGGTAGCCTAGTGGTTAAAGCGTTTGCTCGTCATGCCGAGGACCCGGGTTCGATTCCCCACATGGGTACAATGTGTGAAGCCCATTGCTGATGTTCCCCGCCGTGATATTGCTGGAATATTGCTAAAAGCGGCGTAAAACCAAACTCATTCACTCACTCCAAAATAGTACAATATCATGCATCAAACTGTCCTTCCCTGAAGGGTAAATAAGTACTGTATGATCACATTGCCGTCTTAACTGTAAAATAGCACAGGCTCGTCATAATCTCCATCTATTAAAGAAATAGTACTATATAAAAAAACACTTTCCTTCTCTTAGTAGCATCATAATAATTTATCGTCACACGGAAGTACTATATCATAACACTGTACCTCTCTTAACTTTAAATGTTACTATATCATCACATTGTTCGCCTGTTAAGGAAATAGTACTATATGACCAATCAGCACATCGAGTAAAACTGTATTAGAAATTAACACTATTTGTTAAAATAGCGGAGTACGTATCATTTAGTATGGCAGAGTATTACTGAGCTAAGGTACTAGTAACCTTTAAACTGTTTACGACCAAAGTCATCGTGAACATGTGATCGAGATACGATGCTGAATCCCAAATTATATGCAAATGGATTTAAATCTTTGGATTCTTCAACAAAGATCCCCCCTGACCTTTCCATGTCCGCAAAGCGAACATATCTAAGAAGTCCACTCTTTGTTCCATCGGCATACAAGGCGAGTCATGAACGACAGCATATTAAATTTCACACTAATTGATGTTGATAGCAGCAAACTCCCCAGACCCAGACAATACCACGCTGTGATTGGTTGAGTTATGCGAAATAACGCGTTTTGATTGGTCCGTGACAAATATTCCCTCGGTCTGTCCCCTTGTGTCGTCTTTGGGGATTATATGGCAAATAATTTCCATTAATCTTTTCCTTATTAACGAATGGCAATTAGTGGGTGCGTTCGGGCGTAACGAAAACCCCTGCTTTGTTCACGGATAGTGTTTACAGAGCTGAACGATGCCAACCAAGTGACTCCTTTCAATAAAGCGACACCCGGGATTGTTTAGCTTGTGGGATAATAACTTAATAAACGCTTCATACACGGCCTATTCAAATTAGGGTGCGTATTCTCGTGGTGTGAGAGTTCAACGCTGGTAATATCTAACCATAAACAGTTATTATTAACTATTACCACTGCCATACACATTTAAAACAAACCATCCTGACGCATAGCTATAAACGTTCAATTGAGATTCAGTTTCTGATGCGATGATTATAACAATAATATTACCTTGTCTGCTTTTTGTGAAAAGAAAAACATATCTATAAGGAAAGATCGTGTATGAAAAGAAACAAAGGCCATTCACAAAGAATCAGTACACCAAGGACCCCTATTAAAATCATAACATCACCCGGAAGGTTTGAAAGGAAGCTTTTTTATAGTTCATATCAACAATGAGAGAATAAACTGACTAAGCCACCGAAACTATAAAATTTAAAAAGAAGCATTTCTGTTTTCATCTCCACCTATGATACCCATGATGATTTACCGGTACATTATAGCTCTATTAATCAAATTATTAACAACATAATTATCATGTGAATCAACACGTACGCCAAGTTCCGTGTTGCCAATAATAACCAACAGATGCAAATTGGCTGTACTCAATAATACTTGATGAAATCGGTTTACAATAACAATGTTGAAAATCAATTATTGACATCCGCGCCCTCACCTCTAGAGCCTCCTAGTTTATTGTGCCATTAATGTCTCCCTTGCACGTATTGAACACTATGATAAAATGATCAGAAAAACTCACTAGAGTGTGTGCTTGGACTGGGAACTAGGATTATAAGCCTTGTCGGTGTCCAACTTACTTTTACACAACGTAAATCACTAGTCTCAGTATTTATCTCGATTTAGCTTTCCCATACATAAATCTAGATTCTACTGTCCCTTTGTATTGCAGGCATATCCCAAGGTTTAACGACTGCGCCAAAGCGGGTGTGCTTCCCGTACCATAAACACAAAGGCCATATTGAAATACCGTTTCTCTGTTGTATACATAGATATAAATTGATAAACAAGCATGTCATTTCTCGGGTAACCGTTTTATCGCTCGGGGATCCAAGCCTACATTCTATCTGCTGGGAAATTTATCTCGTAAAGGACCGCGTCATATATTAAACACATCGATGTAAGTGTCTATTATCACTGTTATATAGATTTAGCAGAAAACTCCTTACTCGCTGTCGGGTATATGTACCTACGTATATAAGTAGACAGGCCATTAGCTTGGCTAAATAGTTATTTAGTCTGGAAAGTAGGATTCAAAATGAACAAAGGGTTGCAGGGCGAATTACTGCCAAAGGTAGTCACACCTCTTACTTGCCGCGAGAAGGAACGAGTCGGTTCAATGCTCATTGAATCGCGCTGCTAACAGCTACTAAAATCATACATTCTTTTCACGTTCAATCGTGACGAGCAAGGGGCAGTGTTGATTACACACTCGAGTTTCTGACCGCCTGGACACACACGGTTTAGGGGCGGAGCTTTCTCGACCACTACACTCTCTAAGGCTGTCAATCAAAAAGGCTCGCCTGCGAACAAAGGACCCAGGCTCTATCAGCTTATTATTGCCGGCTGGTCGAGTTAGATGGTACAGTACTCTACCGACCAACCGCCTGTCTCTCACAGTGTGCTTCTCTCTAGTCCACAGTCATGGGCAAAGCAGTTTGAATGGAGAATTAATCGTGGTGAGTTGTTACAACTCTGGACTATGGATTTTGTGCCTTAGATTTGGGAATTTATCGTACATTTGACGAGTACGTTTCATCCATAAACGTGTGCTACACAATTTGAGTATGTTCTTTCACGGCGGGGACATCGAAACACTGATTCTGTTGTGTTCGTACTGATACTGGCTCTGGGTGTTCAGCTTGTGGGTTGCGTTATTTTCTCGCCCTGAGGAAAGATCGACCGATAGCGTTACAGCATTTTCAGTGCCTCACCGATCTCATTTCACGAATTCCTTTCTTCGTCAACTGTGTATTGTGCTTTCGTCTTGGATTTTTACTCTTTGTGATAAAATTTGGCCACTTTTCCACCGGATCGTTTTTTACACCGTGTAAAGTTGATTTCCTTGTTTCCATTGTATTGTCAATTGTACGCGTGTGATTTATTTGAAAGTCTCTCCGATATGTGGAATTTAGTGTCATTGATTATTAAACTGAGTTGATGCTGATGCTTATAATTGATGATGTGTTAATCAGTGTGTCTTTCTGTTGCAGAAGGATCCTCATGGATCTATGGATTACTGTGTGATCTTTCCCATGGAGGACTTTCTCATATGGATTTGATATCAACTTACAGTTGTTTGAGTGTTTCATGAGCACACTGGCTGCATACCCGTAAACTAGCCACACTGGCGTACCGAGCCGGACATTTAAGTGGCGAGAGCGGAACAAAAAATCACGGGGGTCTTCTTGGTAGGACACCGGGAAGATGAGTTCTGTCGAACACACTGCTACAGTGGACAGGGGATTAAAAATGAAGATTAAGCGTAAAAATGTGGGACAAAGTTCTAACAAAACTGATCAGAAGCACGAAATTGTGAAAACTGAAAAGGATGCCTGTAAGGCTGTGTCAAATTCTGAAGGAAATACTTTGCAAACAACTCAGAACTCAAACGGAGTGTTGGAGAAATCGACAAAGCACTGTTTGCTTTCAGAGAGGGGAGACCGATCGCCTATGAAAATGAAGGGGTCTCACAAGGGAGAAAAGAAAACCAAAGAAAAGGGTAAAACCGAGAGTGGGAACGTTTTAAACGGAGGCACTTCATGTGCCGGACCTTCTAGTGTAAGTAACGGTTTGGATGCCCTCCTCAACCAAGTTTCAATGGAACCTCGGGTCGGTGACAGTGCTCAAATGAAAAGGGAAAAAACAGTTAGTGATCCTTATGAATTTAATGCCAAACTTGAGGACGCAGGTCCAGGGATAGAACTACCAATGAAAAAGATGAAAAGTGAGAAGGTATGTGTTCGAGGGGTTTCACACTCACAGGAAGACAAAGAGAGTCTTTGCTTTGGTAGTATTGGAGGTAGTTGTTAGGAGGATAAGAGTAAGTTGGGAGATAACAAAAGCTGGACTGGGTTTTGTATGATAACGCGGATTAATGACATTAGTGGAGTACTTACAAGAATATCAGATTGCATGCTTCAAACAGGAGCAGGCCTTTCTAACTGTTACCTGGCAATGTGTTAATATTATCTCAGATAAACAAATATGGGTACTAAACTTTATTTGGTCAGTTGAAAATATTATTTGATCAGACTGAGATGAGTTTCTTAAAAAATCAAAGGGATGAAGAGATAAGCTTCTTCAAAAGTCAATAAGTTAGTGTTTTTTGTACTTAATAGTCAAACCTATTTTGTCTTTTATATTTGAATGCATGATTTTATTTGTAAATATTTTATTTTAAAATTAAATGTTCTCTTTTTTACTCAACCATAATCTTTTGTGCCCCTTGTTAAAGTGGTTTCGTGTATATATATTTGTCTGTTACTTTCCATTCCATTGCCAATATACTAATCATGTATTTAAAACAAACGCAGTATTGTAGATTGCCAATTTGTTTCAAACTATCGGTGTGCTTGAGACAGAAAATGACATATAATAGTTGATCAGATTTTCTGTAATTGTTCAGTAATGGACAATTGTCATTTATTAATGAGTTTTTCAGATGATACATTTACAATGTCTTATGAATGACAGATCACATTGCTATTTAAAAGGAAATAGAAATGCTGTAATAGGAAAGATTCATTGTGGTACAAACACCATCTCTATTTGAGTCATTTCCTTCTCATTCCAATAATCCTCATAACATTCAAGAATGCTTCAGATAGGTTCATGACTAAATATTTCTTTATGGCTAATGTACCTTGTTAACAAACTGGTGTTTGAAATGCCAGCAAGGAAGTCAATACACTTTGAGCAATTATCAAAATCAATATTTGGAGTAAGGCCAATGTTCTCTCTACATATGGCAATTAGGGCGTATCAGTAAGCACATGTTCAGTATGCATGCCACGATTGTTTCGAAATTATGACTAATTGATGTAATTAAGTGGTTTGGATAATACTTATCATCCTTATTAATTATTTTGTAATGCCATCTAAAACAAAGGTGATCTGGTGAATTCAGAAACCACAGAAAAACAGTAATTGATATTATTCTTGGGAAGTAATATTTTATTGAGTTATGCATATTAGCGCAAATATTATGGTCTGTAAATCTGTGTGTTACAGATCATCAAGATAATAACCTGAGAAACTGTTTCAGCAGAATGAGTTGCTGTAAAGCATGAGGTGGAGACATGCAAAGAGAAAACATCTGTTTAAACAGTTACAGTTTGAATGCTTTAGTACAGATGTCTTAAGAAATGCTTGTATGAGTAATTGTTTTGCTGGATTTTAAAAACCCAACTAACCTTGTTTTTTTATTGTAAATGTATAACAAATATATCATGTGAACAAAACATATAATACCTAACATAGTAAACCGTTAAGCATACTAAATAATGGTTTTGCTGTGTACACACAAATAGTATTGTTTCAAACCAACTGTCCCAGTAGAGCACCAAACTGAATTAATATAGTATTTCAAAAACACATTTAACCTTGTCACAGCATAAAACATACAGTGCAGAACGAAAACACATTTATCATTGTAGTATGGAACAGTTGCAAAATCATAAAAAATACCCAGGCATGATGAATCGAGCACATACTACCACATGAGACTGTTCCTAAACATTCTGTTAAGAACGTTATGGGTCTGTATGATTTCTCATTACTTTGGATGATAATTGCTTTTTCGTCAAGAAAAACACTTTTCCCTTCAAAGCCTAGTGGTAAGTTAATTACCAACCGAGCTTGTAGCCAGCGAGAGCGTATTCCGACTCAAGTGTTGTAAACGTTCACTCCGAAGATGAAAGCCGTCATAAATGTTTGAACAGGAGAAGCAGAATCTCCTACTGACTTTTCAAATCTGACAGGAAAGGAATGCAGAGTGAGACTCACTGTGAGTGAATGGAACACATTACTTAATATAGGCAGATGCCCTGTTTTTCATCTTCTCATGCCTGATATTATTAAAAAACCCGACCTAGGTCATTATTTTCTGCCTGAGATAGTGTTGTATTATTTTTATCATTTATAAATTCTGTCTTTATCAGCTTAATCCTGAAGTACTTAAAATATATTTTTTGATAAGAAAATATGTTGTTATCTGTAGACCTAATGTCTTCCATGAAAAGGTCATCAGTAAGCCGAGACTGTTGAATGGTTTATCCAAAAGAATCAAGGATACTTTTTGTCTGCTGGTGAAAGCTGAACATTTTTCAGCCCCCATGTTTGCTATGTAGAGCTTTGACTAGTTGAGTAATCCGGTCTTGACAGTCTGAAAACAGCTTTATGTACTTTCCACATTTGTAAACTTTGCCAGCAAGGTTGATAGTCAAGGCCCGTAATTGAATCTCAGGGCAAACAAGGAAAATGGGTATTTAATGAGTTTTGTAAGGAAAGAAGTCTCAGCTTTGGTGATTGGCGTAACTCCATGACAAGTATTCCTCTGATAATACTAGTTTCTGAGATAATAGTCTCAGTATCAAGATTTCCAGTGGGAATGTAGATTTCTTCTTGTGATGTACTGAAAGAAAGTTTAGGTAGGAGATTATTTGATAGGTTAGACGAGCAAAAAGCTCTGTGACTCATATTTCCTCAAGGACCTATCAGTTTCTGTGATCTTGTGAATAATGCCAAACGTTGCTGTAACAGAATACGTTCAGTTTGATCCAAGTAAAACAAAGATCAAACCGACAGCAGTGTAACTTGCTGGTAGTAATGAATGTTTGTTTCATATATATATTACTTCACTCTTGATAGGAGTATATTTTTATTTCAATACACATATGTCAAGTACACATTTGAAAAGAATGACACATTTTATGATGCCTATAAAATGTGGAGAAGTATGTATCTGGGATTTAAGGGGCTTTTGTTTCTTGCCTAAATCAGCTCAACATCTTGGGGAATACTTACAATGATGACAATATTGGAGGAATTTTGATTCTGTGAATTGTTTTCAATGTTGATTGGTTCCTGACATACATGAAAGTTAGCGACTTATTTCAATGATTAACAGATTCTGTTAAGTAGATAAGATCCCTGATTCACTGACTGTCCATGTTTTTAATGATTCATATGAATTTGATAGGATTGAAAAACAAAACATTTGCACCAGATCAAATTGATATATTTACCCTTTCAGTAGTCAAGGTTACATATACTACAAGCCATAACTCAATGTCCATGATATGGTCTATCATAGAAAAGGTGATAAAAAATAACTAAAGTTTTTCTCAAGTGTTTACCAATGATTAACAAAGGTGTCGAATAAACTGAAAATACATTCAGTGCACTCAAATAAACAATTTAATTAAATTCAGACCCCATCATGATACTTTGTTTGATAAATCTTGTTAAGCATTGTCACCAATACCCACCCCTCAGGCCCCTCCTCTCCTTCTCCAGCACTGTGACTCCAACCCAAGCCCCAACTGAATATGGACACTCACTGTTGGTCAGACAATATGAGAACAATAGCTGTCAGTGCAGTCCTAGGTATTTAGGATTATGCCACTCAAGGGATAGTTACACAAAGGCTATAGGGCAGCCATTCTGGGGGCTGTTTGTTCACACTCTCGGAGGCAGCGTTGTTGAAAGTACTATAGGTGGTCTTGTTCACACTGAGTTTCTGGGCAAGGTCGGAGCTGCACAGGCGTCCCATGGTGTTTCATTGAAATCCACATGAGCCATTATATGAAACTGTTTTGTCGTGTGGATGTATGCTTGTAGACTTAAATGAATTGCAACCTTCACTGTCAAACAGTTAATGGACCTTTTGGTGTTCCTTAATATGCAGGGTAAAAAGCTGAATATTTCGAATTGACGTACGAGTCATCATAATTTCCCCTCTACTTGTGATCACATGAATATAAACCTGCCAAAAATGAGGACATTAAACTCTCCCTCTTTAAAAGTAGTTATGAAGTTTCATAGTAAGTTGCTTGTGATAAGTAAAAAATAAGAATTTCTGTGATTTTAAAGGTTCAAGTATCCTCTGTCATAAAACTATGCTTGGGCAGAAGTGACATTCATTCCTAAATAACCCTTTAGCAGACTGGAGCTGATGTATTCAGGCGAAATAGACAGAAAGATATCACTTAGTGATGCTGACTTGTACAGGTTTAGCTACACAGCAAGACGTTTATTTTCACAACAAGTTTAGCTGCACAAAAGATATAACCTCAATTTTGAGAACTGTCAAAGTATGAAGTCTGATCATGTCCAGTGATTCTGAGGACCTGATGTCAACAGATTGCATGGGAAACACTTTACCTGCACAAAATTAATGGAGTCATCACACTTGCGAATCCCAAACATTAATGTTAATCTTTATTTCAGGTGGAAACTGCATCTTCTCCCATGCAGACATCCTGCTCTGATGTGGGTGTAGAAACGTCCAATGTGGGTGTGGCCACCGATCCAGACTGCCTTGGTCCGTGTGAGCCAGGGACAAGCATCACACTGGAGGGGCTTGTCTGGCATGAGACTGAAAATGGTCAGTTCTGAGTCCAAGTTCATAAACATGACCTTAATTCCACTGTTAAGACACAAGTTTTGCTATCCCCATGCATTTACATAGAAGATGAAGTATTTCAGATGACATAATGGTTTGTGGAGGAAAGCCCCTAAAATATTAAAATGGTATTCTAATCGGAAACCATGTGTTTGAAAAAGATCTTCTGTTTGAAAGAAATTCCTCTGAGGGATTGTTTGAGGAAGACATATGCCAACCAATGTTTCCCATTTAACTCCTCTGCAGTTGAATGTTTGTGTGATTAATTTCACTGGCAGAAATTGCAAAGTCTTGTTCAGTGATACCAGTAGATTAAGAGTGTTGTTATTCAGCCTTTACGATGGCAGAATGGTTGGATGGGAATAATGTGGTACTATGCACACCCATCCTTGTGATGGAGGACGCACTGACGCAACTTTATATGATAGATAAGGATGAACCCATCGTGATATTACGTAAAATGTAAACAAATCAATACAATGTGTAAAGAATAATCACTAGCTCAGCATACCCCATGGTATATTTAATGTTTGTTTTTAGGTGTGTTGGTTGTGAATGTCACATGGCGAGGAAAGACGTACGTTGGTACTCTGCTCGATGCCACACGCTACGACTGGGCACCGCCAAGGTAAGACCGTCTCTGTTGTACAGAAACATGAATAAATATCTTGAAAAAAACTGGCGCTCTGAAACATTTTGACACTTGTACAAAAACAATTGATTTGCTTAAAATCCACATGGTATGACTCGATATCCCCAGGGTAAGACCATTTCTGTTGTACAGACTTACAATGATGGAACATGAATATAAAAACTGGAGCTGAAACTGTTGCTCTGAAACATTCTGACATTATTGTTAAAAAATAGTTGATATGCATGAAAACTACAGACATTATTTTAAGAGAGTATGATTGAGATGGCCAGTTCTAAATTGACTCCATAGTCGTTTAGTACTTTGCAAAAAACAGAGATTTTCCCATTTGTCCTTTGTGTGGAATAGTTCTTAAAGGTTAAGTGCTGAAGCGTATTTTGATAAAATGAATAATAAAAACCATTGAGGATTAAATGACAGTCATCAAGCCATTTTAGATCAAATTTGTGAGGTTAATGCTCGGATAGGAAGAATGTTGAGCCTCTTAAGTCATCTGAAGATTGATCAGACGATGAGAGCTGTCATATTAGTAATACACCCAATTTCTCATTGTCATGGAAAACCTCCAGTCAACCAAGCAGGCGAACTATCACAGCCTTCACAGACCTACTTGGTATGAACAAAGGCAATATCACAAATTTCACAAATTTTAGTATTTTTATTTGCTTTTCTCAGGAAACCTCACACAAAGACATGCTGTTAGTTATCACTATGTGAGATAGTTACTGCATTCATTAGGGTTCTCGTATCCAGGCATAAAGCTGTTTGTTCATGTAAGTTATACTTGCTACTTGCATATATGAGAGGTGATAGTTGACATGTAGTAATAAAGAAGATATTCCTAAGCACTACTGATGGTTCACAACTGTTTGCACAATTTAGCAAGGTATTGAAAAGACACTGATGGGAAGCTATACAATAGGCATTCAGTCCATGATCGCATGAGTAGGTTGGCTGAAGACACATTTCTTTATCTAGGCTGTGTGTCGCCTAGACGACTGGCCCATTTCATGGGATATTGAAGTAGTTGTCCTCCAGTGGTTATCTCTGTGCCTGTGGGGTCAGACATTTATCATGCTTGTGGAGTGGAGGGTATTGTTTGGGCATTGGAAGTATCGTTTAGACATCAATCACGCAGAAAAGTCGTACAGAGACAAAGCATTAGCTCTGAATGGCTTATAGTTCATTTGAATGTCTGTAAACTGCACACAAGCTGTACATCTCATTGACATTCAAATAAACAGAAACGAAATAAATATGCCTAATACTTTTAATCTTATTGAATATAAACATTGAATCATTAATTTTGTAAAACAGCTAGATCCATTCATGTGTCTGTTTATAATAACTCATTTTAGAAAACTCATTTAGAAGCTTTTTCCCTTGCAACAGACCAAAGCTTTTGATGTTATCTTTCCCTGTTTTTTTCTCACACAGTATGCCATTCATCCAAGTATTTTACAATCTATTTGTCATCTGTATCTTGAAATATGTGGTAAGGGCTTGTTTTAACCTGTCTCATGTTTCATAGCTTCATAAACTATAATGACTTTCTACCGTAGCCATTCATTCTCCAAGTTCAGATGCATGCGGTAAATATTTATCCAGGAATGATTGCCTCAACTGTGTTTGCTAGCTTCCACAAGCAATAGCGAGTAATACTGTCTCTATGCCTTCGGTGCTGAGTGAATCAATAATTTGTCCGAGCTGGCAATTATGTGAAAAGATTGATTTAGTTTTAACCAGGCAGGGCCAAATGTTGCTATAGCCGGCATAGAAAGACCAGCTGATAAGGTTACAAATGGACTCTGCAACATTGAACTTAGTGTGTTGTTTCATCAGAAAACACTTTAATAAAAATATTAAAAAAATCATTGGCATGACACACTTTGAAGAATACAATATTGTTTCTTTGGAAGATTGATTTCCATATTAATTTGCACAGAGATAATGACACATTTGTTTTTCTACATTGTTCGTACTTTTGCGGTCATGTTGTTTTTGTTACCCTGAATGTGACCTTTTGACAAAATCAGTTTTCTCCCACTGAGGGAGTCAACAAAGGATCAAGTTTTCTCATCTTAAAAAACAACCCAAAAATTCAGTATTGAATTTTAGCATTTTTCTGTTGACATGTAGCTCTAGAAAAAAAGCAAAATAACTAAACATATCTTTGTTAAAAGATCAGGGCAAACGAGCATGTTGAGATGTGTAAGCAACCGATATAGAATCTTGGCAAAGATGGTGCCACTCAGTAAGTTGGCAAGGAATTCTTGGAAGAATTGAGTGCCGATTCCACATGGCAGCAGAACAGCTTTCTCAGCATAGCAGCTCGTACATATTATTCAGCATGAACAGAAACATGCTTGCAGGGTTTTCTCCATCACAAATCTCTAACAACAAATTGCACTTTCATTCCTAAATGACGGTTCATGCTTTTAAAAATTCTTGAATACGTTTTACATGCATCAAGAGTGTTTGATTAAAACATGTAGAACACTGAGCAGAGAAAGATGGTGTTTTCTTAGGTCCAGAGTATTTGGGTTGCCGGTGAAGATGCTCATAACAGATGTTGAGCTTGCAGAGGCAGTCTAAATGTCTCGGTATATAACAACATCGGTATGAGTGTCTTTTGGTGGGTTTTGAATAGAGTCTGTCAAACAGATTAACCAAATATTGTAAAAAAACATTCCCAGGTTGTGTGTTGAGGCCATCTGTAAATGGCAGTTCTCACTGATACTGCTGCCTGTGCTTGTAATTTACTGGTGTGGCCATCTGTCATTCCCATTGAGGGCCTCTAAAAATAAACTCAAGTGAAACTTAGACTAATTACTGTGATGTGATAGCTGTTTTACAAGAAATAATTTTTAAATACTTGCAATTAAATGCCTCATGAGTTTTACATTGTACTTCCCTTTGAAAAAGACGAGTAACATGATTAATTTTTATCCCATAGTCCATTAGACTACAGCCCCTTTCAACATTCATGTCAGATCTATACTACCTGACTTTTAAGAGCCAGCATTATGTCATTTTACAGTATCAAATAGACATAAAGTGTTAATTCTCTTTTTTATGAGAACACAACTGGTAGTGCCAACTAACTCCTCCCAAAAGGTATTGGATTTAGTCCAATATGGCTGCCAATATGCTAGATTTCCCAAGCAGTTTGGAATTTTAATTCCATGGACACAAATAAATAATGGATTATATTTGTACTTGATTTACTTTTCATGTTATCTGTTTGGTATGGTTTATGTATTCAGTTCTGGGTTTCTTGCATTCAAGATAATTTTGTCTTCTGATAATGCATTTCTGTGAGATAATTACTTCAGATCAGCCATGCAGAACAACTTACATTCACTTTAACCCAATTTGTCACGGAAACTCTGCAACAAACATTGATCAAGATCTAGTTATGAGGTCTTGTGGAGCTTTAATCTAAACCAAAAGTGTTACTTTGATGAGGTAATTTTTTCTCAAAAAGCTTAAGTTGAATGAGTGTGAATGAGTTCATATGGCTATCATTCATCCAGACTGCCATTTGCAGTCAGCCATGAACATATTTATGCAACAGCTTCACGCATCAATGCATTTAAGAATGAACCTGGATGATAAAGTATGTGAAAAACAACAAAATTACATACTTCCCTGATTCAGTCAAAACTAAACATTGAAGGAAGGGTGAAAGGGCAAACAGAACATTCTTAGAGGGTGTGGATTTCTTCATGGTGGAGTTCATCTTTTTGGTATAACTTTGAAATGTTTCCCTGGCTAATTATGTGTAATATAGAGTTTTAGCATTGGTTGCTCCCAGTCCTGTAAGTGTTTCACAGCAACACGTTGAATACCATTGTGTTACTGAACCCGATGATCTTTCTATTTCTTCAATAAAAGGTGGGAGACTGAAGATTTGTAGACACCCTTTAGTTCATGTTCTTAAGACATATGATTGAAATATTTTGTCTGTTTTCAATTTATTTCAAGACACTTATATTTTCTGCACTGACTGGTATGGTTTTGTCAAAGTATCTTGAACGAATCAGGTCATTTACTTTTTAAGTAGTGTATGATTTCCTGTACATGAATAAACATCACATGCTTAAGCCTTGTAATTCAAATTAAATTTGAATTTTCACCCTCAGTGGGCAAACTTATGGTAATTCTGCTAGACGAGACTTTCATAAAAAACTTGCTTTAATATAATGTTTTTTTTGCAAATATTCTGTTTCATCTTCCTGCTGTTTTAGCTGTATGGTTCAGATTAATTTTAAATTTCATCATCTGTAACAAACACGTCTATGAACTTGAGCTATTTTTTCCCTTTCCAAACCTAAGTGTATTTGAATGGCAGAGCAGAGATGAGCTGGTGCCCCCTGGCGAAGTTAGGAAGTGGCCGGATGATCAATTTCCTCCCTCGTCTGACGGCAACATATGCAGACCATAAGCGCACATTCATTTAGATTACATATCCACAAGTTAATGTAACAGTCAAATGTTATCCTATTCCAAGATAACTTGAAGGCATAGCATTATCAACAAGCAGAGAGATTTGGCAAGTCTGCGTTTTGGAATGCACACTGCGGTGCAGTTGCAAGGTCACCTAACTAAGGCTTGGTGCATTCTCGCTGCCAGACATTGATGAAACACAGACCTGGTCTGTTTTAATCAGTTAAATGCAATATTATCAAATTATGGTTAGTTTTTCTAATCGAAATAACATTTTATGTGATGTTAACAGGGACAGCATCATGTCCAATAACTGTTACTGTTAGATATAATTGCAGCTAATAAAATAGCAATGTCGATAAAATTTAAGTTTGATCAAGATAAAAGGGTAATCTATCAATCTTGTAAATTTTTATGTAGAAGTAAAATCCCATTTGTTTCAACATTCTGTAACTTATTATGCGAAATAGAATGTAAGTGTTTACTTGTGGGAAATATGACATATATTTTCTTTTACAGACTTCAAAGGTCATGAATATTAAATTAGTGTGTTAAATATATATAAAATGACGGAAAAACAAGCAAAAATCTTTACCTGTCATGTATGTGGTTCCTTAGACATCCGTGAAATATGTTCAGCAAACCTGTGAAAACAAAAGCTGTGAGAAATGCAAGGCTGAATGGCTCTGGTTTCTTGTGTGGAGAAGAGAGAAATGGCAAACATACTTTGATGATATTGTTACCTGATGCTTGATCAATACATCACAAGAAAAGCATCATTTTCATTTTTCGATGGCTGTTGTTACTGGTTTCATGAGGATTTGAGTGGCAGAACAGATGGAATCATGGCTATGAACTAACAGCTGAAATACACTCGGGTATTTTTATCCTGTTTTCAAGCATGTATTTCACTGGCAATGGTTAATGATTCACACATCATCGTTTATCTTTTTGAAATGGATTTAAACTTCCAAAGGCATTTTTGGAATTTTGACATTGAAGGAAATGTGCAATGTGTCTAATTGGTAAATAAATACCAGAAAGTTAGGAATAATTAACTTTATACAGTTCAGGCTCACAAGGTGGGAATGGTTGGTTTTTGTTTCATCTTGGAAGCAGCTGGTGAGAATTGTAATCGAGGGTCTTTGTTATGTTTAATCCTCATGCCCCAGGAACCTGCTGTACCAAATCCATTAGGAATTCACTTTAATCAAAGTGTCTTGGATGGAACTAGACTCTTAGAGACCGCATGCCTGAACGTTGATAGATACAGTAAGCTGACCTTACTTCAAACTATTGGCAGTTATTCTGAAACATTAAGCTATGGTTAATGTGTACCTTTGTATCTAAATATTGTTTGTCACCTGTTTTAATGTTTTGACGTGTGACGTTTAATGTTTTTCTTGTTTTTCAGATTTAACTGTGAATCGCCTGTGAGTGACTTTGAGACACGGACACCTAAAGGTCGTGGAAAGAGGATACGCGGCGCTGCAGGTACTCCTGTTAACGAAAAAGCCAATTCCGAGGGAAGGAAGCTCCGAACGAAGACCCGTCGTGGGAGCAGTGCTAGTTTCCAGGCACCTCCAAGTCCTGCCCGATCAGATGTGTCCATCGGTGGGGTGAAGAGGAAAGGGCGGCCTCCAGAGTTGGACTTGTCAGACAATGCTAAAGTTAAACGGTGTCGTTCAAGTTCTAGGGGAACCCCAGGCACAGAGAGTCCATCTCCTGTGCTTATTGAGTGCCCTGAACCCAACTGTAATAAAAAATACAAACACATCAATGGACTAAGGTATCACCAGACACATGCTCATCATAATCTTGGTGGAAACCAAGATGACGATGATGATGATGGCGAGGACACTGATGCCCCCACCCCTCCTGTCACACGGGCTGGTAAAAAGGGCAATACAAGTGAAAGTGAGAAAAGCAAGGAAAAAGCTTCCAGTGATAAGGACAATGAAGAAAACATTCCACTTAATGAAATAGCGGCAGCTTCCAGCAAAGCTAAGGCTGCAGCTGCTGCTGCTGCAGCAGCAGCTTCAACCTCATCTTCTAATCAGGAAAAGAACACTACCAAGAGTGATAGCAATAAATCAGATAGTTCAAAATCTGAATCCACATCAGGGTCATCTAAAAAGAGAGAAACTGCCGTCACCTCAACAGTGACACCTGTGACTTCATCCGCCAAAATTTCAGTGCCAACAACCCAGGTATATCAGATCTCTGGGGCTCCTATTGGATGTCTGGCAGGTGTTGCTGCCTCCGTGGTAACACAGGCTGTTACCGTGGCAACCACATCCATAACAGCTAGCAGCCCTTCTCCAGCACCAATTCCAGTAGCTGTCACAGCTATGACCACACAACCTCAGGCAGCAGAACTTATCAAAACTGAAGCCTCAAAGGACAAAACTGATAAAACTAAAACAAAAAGTGCAACACGTCCAATTGTGCCAGCACCACCACCTCAAGTGATTGCTTTGTCAAGTAGTGGGACGGTCAGTCATTCCAATCTATCCCCAGTTTCCACACAGATGTCTCCTTCAATAAGGCCAATTCAGCCCAAGCCTACCATTATGGGTGAGCCATCAGGTATAAACCCTGCCCTAGTTTCTCTCAGGCAGGACAGGAAACCCAGAAGAAGGGAGACAGAGAAGAAACTCAAGAAAGAGAAAGATGGGAGTAATGGTAGTGCTCTTGTGAATAATAATAAACAATCTTCCAAAGAACAAGTGCTAAAAGATGATCAGTCAAACTGTAAGCGTCCAGCTGTGATAAAAACTGCTCTTGGTCCGTCCAGACCTGGGGAGACACCTCCTCGTAAAGACAATATTGTGCCAATCCATGAGACACCAAAGACATCTCATGAGTCTCAGAGACCATCCCCCTCAGGGCCTTCTGTAATAGCAACTCAAGGACTTATGAAAGGTGGAGATCAGCAACAGGCAGCACGGCTGAATCAGCCACCCAACATGTTGAAGGTCAACTCTCCTCTGAGGGTGACCACGCCTGATCATGATCGGAAAACTCCTGTAACAGAAGATGTCCAGAGTCCAGCTTATTCTGACATTTCTGATGCAAATGAGTCAGGTTCCCCTCAACAAAATGAGAGCCCATCTAAGAAAGATGAAGTTTCTATTAAAAAGGAAAAGGTATCTACTCCACAAGGACCACAAGGTGATGGTAGCATGTCATCACATTATGGAATGTATTCATATTATGGACAGCAGTATATGATGCCCAATGTTGCAGGGTCCCATTTATCTCCAAGTGCTCCTAAGCCCCACATAGCAGGACAGGAAGGGAGCTCGGGCAGTGAGGACAAGAAGCAGACTGCTCTCCAAGAGGACAGGAAAGCTGGTGAAAAGAAACCAGAGGATAAGGATGATGTTAAGGTGAAACTTGAAGCTGCTGGGGCTAAGCATGCTCCTACACAAATGCATCCAGACTATCATGCTAAGTACATGCAGCAGGTGTATGCTCAGATTCATCATCTGCCTCATCATGCCCAGTATCAGTGTCTAGCAGCCTATGGACTCATTGATCCCAACCAGTATCACATGCACATGATGGCTCAGGACCCTCATGCAAGGCAACAATATGAGAAGGCTGCAGCTGATGAGAAGAGGCATCAGCAGGAACAGGGACTGAAGGACAGTGAAGGCAATAAACAATCTGAAACCCGTCCATCATCCCAAGAGCATGGCGCTCAGCCTTCTGAGCATCCTGGAATGTCCAAACCACCACAGCAGCCTCAGCCTGGTCAAACACTGGGAGGTCCTCAGGGCATGCAGGTTGATAGGTTACAGGACATGAAGAAGGCTGTCTCAGACAGGCCAACAGAGAGAGAAATTAGGGATCAGAATTTAAGGGAGAAACAGAACGAGAACCACCAGATCCTGAAGGAGAACATTGAACTGAAGTCTCAGATGGATCGTCCTCGGCATTTTGACATGCAATATGATTTCCGCAACCAGGAGGAAATCAGGAGACAGCATATGTTTCAGCAGCAGAAAATGTACGAACAACAAAAAAGAAAGATGGAACTGAGTAGTGAACCTCCTGAGCTTACGAGCACAGAGGCAGGAAACAAGAAACAGGCACTGGGCAGGACAGAGGGACCGAAGGGCATTGAACAGTTCAGGGATACAAAGAAAGAGGTGATTGATGGTAGGAAAAATGTTCATGGACATGATATGATTGGAAAAATGAGTACTGATGTGAAAATGATGGACGACAAGTCCAGAAATAGTGATAAACACAGAGGGCCTTTAGATGTGTCTAAGACCAAGCCCTCTCATTCAGTGTCCTCAAGTGTGAGTACATCTTCTCCTTCTAGCAATGCACCTTCCTCCACAGCCCAGAATGCCTCATATCAATCCTACCTCCAATATCCTTCTTATATGCAGTCTCCGGTCCATTATGGACACATGGGTTACGATCCCAACAACCCAATGTACCGAGGTGTGAACCCTCAGGTCATGGGATACAGTGGTACCCCTTACCTCCACTCCCCTCAGCTGGGATACGCCAGAGTTGGGGGGCCTGGGGGAAGGGAAGGGGACAAGGAAAAGTTGGATTCTAGTATAAACAAAAGTGGTAGTGCTGGAAACCCTGAATCCTTAGAAAGTGAAGGGAAAAGTGAGAGTGTTCCTCAAGGATCTCAATTCTACAGCAATGTGCATAAAATACACGAACTTGGTGAACGAGGACGACCAAGTCCTCATGGGTCCTCCCCAGTGCCCCAGAAACCTGGGACAGGGGAGTCTCCTGGAACAGCTCTACAGGTGCATCAGGGGGTGGGGGAGAAGGCTCGGGATTACTCCAACTCCCCACCCACCCAGCGCCATCTACACACGCACCATCACACTCATGTGGTCAGTGGATATGGGCCCGCTATGTACGAACCTATACCATACAATGGTAAGTGCTGACTTGAACATCTTTACCTTGTTGCAGAAGAGGTGCAAGAGACTGAAATGAAAAAGTTCCAAAAGTGTCAATGGACACATTAAGGAGTTTTGTATTGTCCTCTTTTGCAAATATTGTCATTGTAAATGTTGACTTGATTAACCAATGTTACAAGGTATGAATGAAGCCTAGAAACTTCCCCCATGTCCAGTGCTAAATAAGACAGTTGACCCAGCATATTTACATTTAACTGACATACCAAGGGCGAGATTTCTGTTACATAATCCTTTTAAAAAATATATTAATATTTGGACCCGATTGTTTGACCCATATGATGATATGTCAGAATTTCTTTGTTGGGTGTTTGAGAACACAATTCATGTGATAAGTTCCTGGGTTTTTGCCAAATGCTTTCATCAGCTGTGAAAACATTCTGATATATTTCATGGCATTAAGATACTGTGTTTATACTGTACTTGGTGAAGTGTGAATAGGAGTGTGAATAGTTTGAATGCATAACACAATCAAACATTGTAAATATCATTTCACACATATTAATAGCTTCATATTGAATGTCGTATTCATTCAATCTGTCGTATATAATGCAAAAAAGTATGAAAGTGATTAGTGACATTTTCTGTTTGAGTGATTTCCATTTTGGTAATCAGAAACACTTCATTACTACCGTAATCCACCCAATTACCACCTTTTCCCTCATAACCTCCCCCGACTATTACATTTATAAAATATGCACTTCTAAGGTTGATTACGGTATATCATGTGAAGTTTTTACTGAGGATATCATGTATGTTTTAAGGATGTTTTGACTGTATCAAAAATAAATTATTTTTCAAACAACTTTTATCATCATGGCCGTTATTTTTTACACCAAATTGGAGTCTTCATTCAGCGTTATGTAATCAACACTGAACTTGAGCTATGCAGGTTTGGGGTCGGACTGGAAAAATATTGACAGAGGCTAGAGGATAATTTAAATTAGCTGAATGCTTAAACACAGGCCTGGGTGGGTGTTGTTTGAAGTTGAATTGTGGATGTAAACAGTCAGTTGTGAGGAGACTTGGCCAATATTTAGAATCTGTAAACGGTTTTCTTGCTACCTGAGGGAGTTGTACATATTTGGTCAGGTAAATCTCACTGCTGCTACAGCTGATGGGTTTATTGATCAGTTCCTTTGTGGGAAATTTCAGACAATTGACACATTTTGGTTTTGAGGAGTTGAAATGTTTAATGTGCATTCCATGTGAAGAATCACATATATCATGTTGTCCCAATTAGGTATTTTGGGGAATTTGGTCAATTTGACTCAAGTGGACTTTGCCAAATTCTTTTCTCAGTTTAAAATTGTTCATTTGATCCAGACTTGAACTCTGAACCAGTTGTGGGTTGGACAATTTGGAATCTGTTGTCTCTCAACTGTGATAAAATTAGCAGTCCTTACATTTATTAAAAGCTCACTACTTGTCTTTGAAATCCAAATGCTTTCCTTAAAATGTCCTGAAATCAATTCATCTACTCAACTTGGCAGTCTAAGAGAGGCATTGAAAGCTCTTTGGACCAATTCAAACCATATTCATCCGTCAACAAAGTGATTCATTGAATGGAGTTAACTCGCAGAAGCCATCTTTTTCCTGGGCCCATAGAGAAATTTTTCCCATCTGCCTTCAATGTTCAACCTGACAAGTTTAGCGAAAGCCCTTTAGAAACCTGCAGCCTGCCACACGGCTAGGCTGAATGGGCTGTGCGTTTTAGAGGAACGCTTGGATAGTTGGATGAATATAGTTGATCTATCATTGAGTCATAATTGCTATGGCGTGTCGCAGAGACATTTCAGCCCTGATTGACTGAGTTTTATCAGCCTTCTTTTTTCCACCTGAGAACGAGGGTTTGAAGTGTTTTGTTGGGCGGTGTGCATATGAGCTGGTGACTGGGCGCAGTCTAGTATTGCTTGCATTAAATCTAAGAAAATTAGTCCAGTTTCCAATTGCCCAACCAACCTTAGGAATTTTATGGACGTTAAAAATGCTTCATGTAATTTAGTTTATTGTTTGATGTATATATTTCCCTTTAGATGCAGTTTTTGTTTAAGTGTAAAAAATATTGAAATACCAGTTTTAGTTTTATTGCCCCTTTGGTGAGGATAATAGCATTCTTCTATTTCTTAAAATCTCTGGGGCTGTCTATTATGTTCTCTCTGACTTTGTGTGTCAGCAGTGTGTCATTAAGACTAGTTATTGTTAGGTAATTGTCAGAGTTCTCTAATCCCATATATACTTAAGAGTGCATTATGAGTAATTGATGCTAGCAAAATTACAAGACCAAACCATGATATTATAGGAATGAGATCAATACAACAATCAACGTTTATGTAAACTGCTGTATTTGATGCAAGTTCTCAGATAATATAAAATCTGCATTAGTATTCCATTTGTGAACAGCAGCAACATGATAACTGAAAAAAATAACCCAATAACTAACATATACAAAGAAAATAGAAATAATATCAGGCGTGAAAGCATGAATAATAAACAGTTGTTCAGCCAGTAGCATACACATAACATTGTCAGATTAATGTGACTTAAAAATAAACATCATGTAAGCAAGTATAAATCATTTTAATGGTATCAAATTGTGCTGATTGTATGGTATGCCTGCAACTGCAGTGTTATGGCAGCAAAACGCAAGTAAATATGCATAATTCATGAGTATGAATATTTTACAGCCAGCATTTTGTTGCCATCTCTTATCACAGAAGAATTCCTAATACATTCCATGGCTGAAACAGCCACCAATAAACATTTGCTTGACGATAATGGCAACAAAAATATAAAATTACTGTAGTATGGTGAATTTATTACCCACAATTCATCTCGGGAGCATGGCATCTCCTCAAATACTTTCATCATCATCCCAAGCCATAAAAACAGAGAAATATTCCACATCTAACAGATTCTCCCCCAGAACACTGCAACAGCCCATCAATGTACCTGATCAGAGAACATCTGCTTATCAAAAGGACAATTAAAAAGTGATACTATTCACCATCTGATTAATTTGAACCCTATTATGAAAAAGTTTGATGATTTCAACAGATGGGAAACCGCTGAGAAAAGAAACTTGTCAGTGGAGACCTGTGTACTTAATTTAGCTTTTTCTGCTGTAACATCCTAGCTTGATTTATTGAGTCAGTGCATGCTTCCTCCATCAGCTACTCAATCAATGCTAGCGATTGGAGGTTTGCCAGGGGAAGCTCCTCCAACTGAAAGCATGCTAGTCCACTTCCTTCTCTGTTTTCGACTCCATAGATACTCACTGTCTGTACATAAAGCTGCTTCCATGGCCAGGCACTTGCCACTGTAATCTTTTCATCAGGAATGTTTTGCTCTCCTGTTCTTCGAACATCAAGTCGTTAGCTTTAACATATTACGTTCTTTCCCAATCTCCCAGTTGATTGATCATGCAAATAGGATCACTATTTTACCATGGCATCAATAAGAAAATTTTGCTTTCAGTAATAAATTTTAATTAAGACAAAGCTGGTGAAAATGAAATTAAACGCGGACAATTATTCAAGATTGAGATGGAGGATTTTATTTGATTTGTGATCAATCCTGGTATGTCATCTGTAAGATGGCCCAATAAAAGGAACAGCTCTTCGCTTGGCAGCTATTTCCATGTCATTTACCTTCGACATACAGCTCAATGTTTATCACAGGGATACCAGCTAGCCTGTTTAGTCAGGACAAAGTAAAAGCTTGTCTCAATGATTCCAATCAATACAGCCCAGTCCCTGGGGAGATGAACCATTTGATGTTTGCAGTCACTAGGTGGTCAAGCCGAGGTGGCCTGTGGGCAGTAATTCCCCCAGGCAGTGAGTCCTCGCTGTAGTGACCCTCCCCACATGGGGTCGCTTGATCTGGCTGAAGCTGTTGTCAATAATTGACAGAGCTAATCTCCCTGGCTGAGAGATGGAGTTGAAGTGGTCAGGCAAATTCAGCTCCAGCAGGGATGAGATTGACCTGGAGAAGAAGATGCTTTGGGCATGCCCTTCAGCCTTGGGGTTTTGGAGGGGTGGTCCACAGCGAAGGGCATATGTTACATGAAGGTGTTTTAACTTTTATTTTGTTTTCTTATGAACCACTTAATATTATAATATTGTTTGATAATGTTTACAAGGAAACATTTTATTTCTTAAGATTGGAGCAGATTTTTTAAGAATTATCAGTGGTTTCTGTAAATCAAAATGTGATTAATTGTTTTAAAGGAGATAAGTGTATTGTAAAGCTTTTGGAGAATTAACTTTTAATCAGATGATTTTATTTGTGAACACTATAATTTGAAAAAAAGATATGTTATCAGAATATCATTGGGGGATAATAATTGTATGTAAGATGTTGTTAGATGTTTCAAGGTCGTTAAGTCATCCTGAAGGACATTTATCAGTTAATATCCGACTTATACTTAGGTAATTGTCCAGCAATATCATGGGCTATTTTACACTGAGATTCTACTGGAAAGCTGGTTAGAGGATGCCAGCACGGGTTGAGGAAGCAGTGAGGATATTAAGCTGAGCCGTGCAAGCTCGGCAGTAATTGACAAGCTAATCCTGGCTGGAGTAAATTATCACCAGGCTGAGTGAAACGCAAGAAGAACGCGAAAAGGAAAGGTTTCACTGTACTGACTCTCTCCAACTATATTTTTCCAAATTACTTGCACATGGCATAGGAGTGTATTTATCCTTCAAATCTTTCATGTTCCGAGTATTCCTTTGTTGTAAGACATGAGAGTAGAGGTATCAATGGGAATGTTTGGAGTCATCTACAATGACTTATTTTACAGCACATAATCGCTCTTCACATGAATATTATGGTGATATTGATTGCCACTACAAGTTAATTACGTGTAATAAATCAGTTTTACAAATATACTGAAAAAAACATGATCTTGAATATTTTGGGTGATGTTTTCCTAGTAAAAACTGAGCATACAATTTC